ATATTAAATGTAATTTTAGGTTCATCAAAATATGCAGTGTATAACTTGTACTACTTGAAAAATATCCTTGCATACTTTTAGACACAAAAATGAGATATAAAAGTGAGTTTAAAACCATAGTCAAAGCAGCGTATATATTATTTTGACATTTTTCAATGAATTAAATTTGGGTTAAACCTTATATCAAGAAATCGATTTCTTAAAATCTCACGTCCATTTATTGTATTGTGTAGTTCGTTTTAAATCATAAGTTTAAATAGTTTTCTTTTCGAAAAACAAGTAAATTCTTAAAAGTAAATATTAAATTACATAAAATATTTGGTACAAATAGTTCAACATTAAATTATAATTTGATAAGTTCCCATAATCAGAGCACAAGACATCTTGAAGCAACTCACAGCTGAGTGAAAACGATATTTCGAGCAGTAGTTCCCAGCGAAGATTGCCTGTCTATGATTATCGCAATTGCATTAACGATAGAGATATGGCATTGCTTTGCCAATTATGGGGCTATTCGAGTTTGAGGGCCACACCCCCCGCACCAGCCCTCCGTTTGCTGTCATTAATACCGCAAATTAGCCCGGAAAGTGGAAGTAACCGGAGGGGGAGCTCAACTAATAACTTCTAGTTGCGTGAACAGCCCGTAAACCAATTTCTCCCGGCTGTGCTTTCATTAGCGCTGCCTCAATGGCCAAGACCCCCTGATTTCCAGGATTCGGCCTTGGCGTTCTGTCCAAACGATTATTGGCCACTCCCCCGTGTGCTAAAGTTAAGGCCCCTGCCCCACCGATTGCCAGATTTGTTAATTATGCACGTTATAATTAATGCTCGCTATCCTGGGCAGGTCAGACCCACCCCACCATCTAACGCACTATCATTTCCCCCCATCCACACTCACCGGCTAATTGTCAATAAATTTGCCAGCTCAAAATATCATTTCCCAGCCGAGAACATAGAGCCGGGAATCGAGAACTGGGAACCCGAGAAGCTCCCTGCTGTCATGCTTACTGTCAGTTGTGCTTAATGCTTAAATGAAATCTAATCACGTTCTAATTTCAGTTAAGTGTGACAGCGAATTGTGCGACCCGCCCTGGTAAAACCCCCATTCCCAGAACTCCGATCCCTCATCTTTGATCCCCCGTTTCCGTTTCTCGCCTCCTTGTATTTCATTTCCGCCATTTAAGTGGCCCAACCTCCCACTTCGTCTGCTGTATTATTCTTTTTGGCCGGGTGCCAGACGGGAAAATTTGCATTCAATGAAGGCGAGTGACCTGCAATGAGAAGGGTGGATATCTTAAGGGTCTTAAAGAGTGCTAAAACTTTGATGAACTCAATTTATAGCGGACCATAAGTAGGGCAAGCAGAAAAATTATAACCTGCAGATTTACTGATTGGGTAATAATAGAATGGGTATATTATTATATATATATATTTTTTTTTTATTTAGCTTGATCTTAAAGTATTTCATTTAATGTAGAACCCTATATGAGGAAGGATTCTTTAAATCTATAGACTATGGCTCATTATCCATTTACCCGATAGTACATGTATTTTTGTTTATTTCCCCTTGCTAATGAGCCGAGTTAGACGATTTTCCTCTCGTCTGGCTGAAAAAAGTTGCATTAATTCGCGCAACTGGCGTTGAATCTCCCATGACCGCATCCACCATCACTGCATGTTTCATAACTTTTCATTTGAAAATGACGCCGGAGGGGCTGGGGAAACTATTTCGTTTTCAAATTAGCAAACGGTTTTCCCTTCGAAAATCTAGTTAATTAGCGCTCAACAACAAACAACTCGGGGGGGAAAAGCCGAGATAGAGCAGCAGCAACATCACTATCATCATCATCATCATCGTTTTGGGGCAGGCGGCAGTCGGAGAACTTTTTTTTGGCGCGAAATAGTTGAAAAACTGAGTTAGGCAGGGGGTGGGACTCCGAAAAGTATGCAGTGCGAAAGTGCTCGTGAATTAAGCAATTAGCCAAGTCGAATAAGAAGGAGAAATAAAAGCTGGGAATTGCGAATTAGCCGGCATCCTCCCAAGTTGCCTATATTGTTGCACAAGTCTGACGCTGACCCGCTGCTAATTGACCAATATTCCCGTCTGGGCATCATAGCCATCAGGCCGGGTTCTTCAGCTTGGCTTTGGTTTGGGTATCGGTATTCGGTATTCGGTCCTGGCATTGGCATGGTAATTGCAATCGCTGGCATTCCACTTCCCCATCGGGAAACAGACGTTGCGGGGACACAGCATAAATACGGCCAATAAATTGAATTTATTCCAGCCAGCTACCAATTTCAATTTTGAGCATTAGCTTCCCTTTCTTTTGGTTCTCTGGAGAAGGGAATGGTGACTTCTTTGGTTTAGGTCATGGAAAAAATAAAAGGACTTCGACTTTTATTATTAGAAAGCAAGAAAAGCAGGATTTCTTGATTGAAGGATTTTAAAAATTTGCAGAATATTGAAGACTTTAGCTGAAAAATATACAACAGAAATAAACTGCAACTCAGTAATAGTTTCTTCTTCAAAAATATTAATTTAAGAATGTAAATTAAATAATTGGCATGGAAATATCTATTTTGTATGCCATTTTCGGTTTAAAAATCCCATAGTTACATCCATAGAGTATCTACCATTCGCCTTCAAGCGCATTTGCACTTGGTTTCCCTTTTGTCGACTGCTTTTTGGCACATTGCTTATTGATTATTTTTACTAATTTATGTGCTAATAAAATTGTCAATTTGTATGCGTGCAGCGGCAGTTCGCATTGAATGGATTCCCTTCCTGCGAGTTTCTGCGATATCCTGGCGAAGGATATGAGAAAGGGGATGCAGTGTGGGGACCATTAGACTAAAGTGTCTCCTGCCGGCCAGCGGCTGTCTCCTTCTCCGAGGGCAGAGTGCCAAAGGCGCTTACAAATGACACTCCAGGACATTTCTGGTAATGATTTTCCGTCGAAAGCCAGCCAGATTTGGCCTTAGTTTCACAATTTTCGCCAGCAGAAATCTCACCCATTCACTGGCCAATCCAATCCTGTCTCTCAACTGCGGTCCGGGTTTTCAACTGGCTTATTATGCCGCATTTGAGTTTAAATACGGCCGCAAGGATTTCGCAGATTGCCTTGGGGCTATTGATAATCTTTCGCCCAGTATTTATGCAAATGTTCTGGAGAGTTATGGCAAGTTTGGGAATTGAATATCAAATGAAGTGAGTTGAGGTGAGATTCGGAGGTCACATCTTGGGAATTTCAATTTTATTAAATCTATTTTAAGACTTTTGAAATTAAGGCCATAGAAAGTATCTAATTTAGCCTGCTTACCTATATTTGCTTGAGTAATTAATAAAAAATTGTAAATCTTGGGAAACCTGCCAATCTGTTTTATTTTATTAAATCTAATTCAGGCTTACAGATATTTTATAGTAAATATATATATGGTTTTTCTTTACTTAAATTAATGAAAAAATATTGATTTTCTAGCCAATGATAAGAGCTTGACCACCCTATTAGGAGTACAACTTTTTGCGGAGAATAACACCCACCATCTCCGCTGCTAAGTCAAACCTGTTATTTCTAGGTTGGCCATTCCATCAGGGAAACCCACCGAATCCGCCCTAAACAATATTTTCGCACATTTCCCCAAAGCACCCACATCCACTTAGCAACCTTTCTGGCCTTCAGCTGAGGAGCGCCGGTTTTACACCATCTGTGCCATTCGAAGTGGGTGGGAAGAGGAGGATCCTTGAGCAAACCACTTGATGATGAAGACATTTTGCCAGCTAAAAAATCGTATTTACAACATAATTTACGCTTAAAGTGAGTGAAGGGGAATGGGGAGACGAGGACCCAGGGTGATGGAATGTGGGCCAAAAGGGGTGGACCCAGAGCAGTAAGCCCCATTCAAAGTGCCGCCACTCAAGTGCCACTTTGCCGTAGTTTCGCCCGACCAGACCGCGCTCCTTCTGTGAAAAATAGGACAATTTCATGCCCTTTAATGGCAAACTTTTAGTGGTCAATGCAATGGCTGCCGCAACAACATCATCAAGATCCGGGCATTACCAAGGCCTCCATAAAGAAATGGCAAACTTACCCAGTGGATTGAAACTCCCTTCTTCCCGTTAAATTATGTAAAAATATATTTCACCTTAAAAAAGAAAAGGAAAAGCATTTGGTAGCACGATGGGGAAATGAAGGAAAGGAAGGTGAAAATTGTATTACACGAAGTCAAGTCGAGTTCTGCACTCGCTGCTGTTTTCCGCTTTCCCGCCCTTTGATGTCGTTGCGCGAAAATTGAATAAAAATAAAATTGTAATGCGTTTGCACTGCGGCAGATGGTTGGTGAGTTTGCGGTTGAGAGCTGAATGAAAAGGAAATTACGGGAAATTTTGTAAATTAATGAGATGTTAAGAGGGGACGACAGACGCACCAACTTGACGTAATTAAAAGCGCTTCTATGGTTCACCCATGACTCAACCCGCCAAAACCATCATATATGGGCAAGTTTCTTTCAAAAGGTCAGAACTTGACATTGTGTTCTTGATAATTTTTTAATGATTATGTGTATAAGTATAAGAAACAAGGGGCGATAACAGGGTAATCGCGAAATTTGTTTTTTTTTTAATTGCTTCGGTTTTTTGCTTATGTTTCATGAAATTAAAATTAAGAAGGGCACAAAATACTTTTAATGCCCCATCAATTGTTTCCGCTGCATTTTTATTCGTCATTTCCAGAAACAACTGTACATTTATTTAAGCTTCAATTTACTTCCTCTGACAGAAAATAAAATGAAAGCTTAATCTCAAAATTTTAAAACATGACTTTTGACATTTGCCAAATGATCTATATATTTATAAACAAGCATGCTAAGTTTCTCAACTAATGGTGGGACTATCCCCATTGTCGTCTGAAGATCAGAGCAGAACCTTATCTATTCCAAGAAATACTCGGCTATTAGATTCTCTCCTATTTTACTTAAATACGACTGCAGCTTAAGAGCAGACATCAGTTTAAAAAATAATGGCGAGCAGAGTGGTTCGCCTTTCCATATTGTGCCTGCTTCTGGGTCTGTACACAGTGGAGTCCCATTTTTGTGGTCCACCCAACGAAAAGCAGTGTGTACCCCATAACTTATGCAGGAATGACAACCCAAACGGAAAACCCGTCATACAGTTTCGAAGTCTAGCAGACGGCAACGGGGGATGTCCTGCCGCCCAAACCTGCTGTCCCAGGACGGACATTGTAATTACAGCCTACCATCAGTTAAATAGATATTATTAACAATCAGTTGTCTTTGCAGTTACAATCTCCGGTCCCGGGTTCGGTGCCCGATCAAAGTATTCCCCCCGGATGTGGCTACGCAAACCGTGACGGCCTGACCTTCCAAATCAAAAATTCTGGGGACACCGCCCAGGAAGCGGAACTGCCTTGGGTGGTGCTTCTGCTAAGTGTCCAATACCACGAAACGGTGGGCGGTGGCTCCCTGATCAAACCGGATGTGGTACTCTCAGCCACCACCGTGACCAGAGATTTCATAGAGAGTCAGCTCATTGTGCGGGCTGGCGAATGGGATCTCAGTTCAGACGCCGAGCATGGGAAACATGAGGATGTGGCCATCAGGAAGATCGTGCGCCACCCGTACTTTATGGAGGATTCAGGAGCCAACAACGTGGCCCTTTTGTTTCTCGAAAGACCACTTCAACTAACCCGCCATATAAATCTCATCTGCCTGCCGCCGACGAATCGGGCATTTATGTTTAATCGCTGCGTTGTCAGTGGCTGGGGTAAGAAGACAATCAACGATGTGAGTTTCATGAATCTCATGAAGAAAGTCGAGGTGCCGTTGGTGGATAGCCCTACGTGCGAGCAGCAACTGCGAGTACCTTATACCACAGCCTTCAATCTCCATGACAGCCTCATCTGCGCCGGCGGAGAGATCGGCAAGGATTCGTGTAAGGGCGACGGGGGAGCCCCACTGGCCTGCCCACTCCAAAGTGATCCCAATCGGTACGAGCAGGTCGGCATCGTCAACTTCGGATTCGAATGCGGAAATCAAATCCCTGCGGCTTACACTGATGTTTCCAAAATGCGACCCTGGATTGAACAACAGATCCAAGTGAATTCAGTCGGTTCAGGAGGTACCAAAATAAATTATCCGTATGGATATCCAAGACCTGTGCAAGGACCATTTACTAACAATGGAATCCAAGGTCCTGTTCGAATTCAAGGACATGACCAAGGTGTATTAGTCAACAATGCCAATGATCCATATGGATACCAAAGACCGGTTCAAGGACAAGGACAGGGCCCATTGATGACCAGCACATATGATGATCGAAATGGATACCAACGACCTGGTATAGGACCTGTTCAAGGACAAGGACATGACCAAAGCATATTCGTAAGCAACAGATATGATAAAAGTGGATACCAAGGACCTGGTATAGGACCTGTTCAAGGACAAGGACATGACCAAAGCAAATCTGTAAGCAATAGATATGATAAAAGTGGATACCAAGGACCTGGGCAAGGACAAGGATACGGTATACAAGTACCTCTTCAAGGACAAGGACAAGGCCAAAGTATACACACTAGCAATAGATATGATCAAAGTGGATTCCAAGCACCTGATCAGGGACAAGGTGCATCTGTTAACAACGGATTCTATCAAAATGGATATCAACTACAGGGACAAGGTCAGACAACTATTAGACCCAAATACGATCTACAACATAATCAAGAAGGTAGAGGAGAAGGAGGGGAAAGTGGCACCAATAGATATGGTTCAAATCAATACCAAGGACAAAGTACAAGTGGTAACATCCATAATGGGTATGATCGCTTTTTTCAAGGAGCAGCAGGAACAAACGGAAACATGGATCAAAACAGATACCAAACGTTTAATGAAGGTGGCGGCAGATATGATGGAGGACAAGGGCGGCTCATTCCAGCAGGAGGCGGAGTTGGTGTTCCAGGTGCGGGACAGAATTATTATATAGGTGGCGGTGATGATGAAACAATTGAATATCCCAAACAGGATAATACTATCAAATTTGACAATATACCGACAACAACCACGCCGATTACACCCATAGATATGAATGTAGAAGATGCATAATATATTTCATTTCCTCTGTAAACCATGAATTAAGTCTAACTAAAAAAGAAATTATTCAACTGGCCAAAACGGGAATTAAGAAATCTGGGTTTGTATCTATACTTTTTTTTAAGAGTAAGTCTATGAACTGTAAACTATGCAGTCAAAATTTGTAAAAAAAAATGTTTACTAAGAACGGTTTCTTTATTTACAATTTAAATTTCGTTTAATTGCTTTTAAATCTCTTGTAAGCGGGACATAAGCAATAATAAGTTAAATTGCAATTATACATCTAAATCAAATCTTAATCCACAGTAAACGTTTTAGTTAATTAATTTTAATTACATATAGAACATATATTTTTGCGAGACAGATAACCCTCTTTTCTGAACTTTTCTTCATAATATCTTCTGGAAGCTCCAGGAAAGGAGATAAGTTCTAAACAATGCTAGCATTGATCCACTGATTACTCGATATTCCGAGTAAGAAATTCTTCTGAGAGACACGCTTTTCTGGCTTTTCAATTGCTTTGTAATTATGTCTTACGGATTTTCTACCGTGAAATCTAAAAAAACTTTTTAACGCTTTAAAGGTAAAATAAAGTCAATTTAAAAAGCAATGTAAAAATAAACATGTATGAATATGTTTTCTTTTCTAGCACAGTTTATGCACATAAATTGATTTTAATTTTTATATGTATTAAATCTGATTTAATTTCTTTATATTGCTTTATATATGTATCTATATATATATTTGTTTATATATAAAATCTGATTTAATTTCTTTATATTGCTTTATATATGTATCTATATATATATTTTTTTATATATAAAATGTGATTTAATTTCTTTATATTGCTTTACTTGACGTCCCGTTATCAACTTATTGTTGAACTTCATTCTGCTCAGGTCAGCCCATTATTTATAGCTCATTTTGCTGTTGGTAAACACATTCATGTGCCATATGACTCATGTGGGGCGAAATGAATATTTTGTTCTGCTTGCATTATGCATTACAAATGTGCTAATATATTTGCTGGATTAACTAATACATCGGGATGACCCATCAGCATCTGGACTCACATTCGCCCATATTGATTCTGTGGCCCACCCGAAATCCGGCTAATTGTGCCCGAGCTTGGCCGGAGTTTATTACGGGCCAAGCTGGCCCCAAATCGCAGCCCACAACCAATTTCGCAAACGCACAAAAACTGGCCAAAAATGGGGGAACTACATATGTACTCTATATGTGGCACTCAGAGCCCGTCGAATGTGGAACACATTGTGGCCCTATTGCTTTTAGCCGGAGTTCGCTTCTTGTTTATTTGTTTGTTTGACTGATTTGCTGTTGTTTATTTTGATTTCCGGCTCAAATGCCGAGTGGGCGGAGGCGGATCCTTGTCGATTTCTACATTGATTGTGTTGTCGCAGCAGGAGTTCGATTTCCTCTCCGGGAGTGTGTGCCTGTGCTGCAGCAGATTAGTGTTGACAAACAGTCAAATGGCAAAGGTGATGCCGGCTCTTGCGACATCATCATCAGGGCCTGGGTAATCCCATAAACACCTACCGACTGGAACCATTTCCGGTGGGATGGAGAACCTTTTGTTTGCCACTCCGCGCACAAACATCAAAGGGAATCCGAATCCGGATCCGGAATGGCATTTCGATTGGCCCCGATAAAGAGTTTACTGCGCTTTTTGTACCCAACTTGGTCCGTTGGATAGTTCAACCGGCCATAGTATTTGCATAAAAAATGCATTAATATGAAATTTATGTATTTGTTTTGCCGCTGTTTTTTTTCCCCCAACTTGGGCTCGTTAATGTGTCACAAAGTCATAACTCGCATTTTACTGTTAAACATCAACTGAGCTGAGCTCAGGACATGGAATAACTTTTAGTGGTTCGGTAAAAAATGTTTAATATTTCATTTTTATGCCAACATTTTTTCACCGCGCCTCGTTAACGCCATAATTCTGCGGAATTTCTGTTGATAATTTGAATGCAAGTGATTATTTTTTCAAAGGAGATTAAATTCGCCCAAATAAATAAAAATCCTTATAATAACTTAGTCTAATGAGCCCGATTTAAAATGGCTTTCGCTTATTAAAAGGTTCACAAGTAATTAACAAAAAATTGGTACTTAAACCCAAAAGTAATTATAACAGATAGATGCTTAAAAGAAAATAAAAAAAAATTACTTTCAAATAAATTATTTATGTCTTCTTTCATAATGTGTATAAATACTACTTATAAAAAGATTTTAAAATAAATAAGCTTAAACAATTTTATAGAATTATTCGATCCCAACGGGAATTATGTTTACCAAACCACTACTAGGTTTTAATTGAGTTGCTCTAACTTTGGAAGCAAAGTAGAAGTCAACATTTCTGGTGTTAATGCTCTTTCAATTCTTATTCCTAAAGATACATTTAGGCTTTTCCTGCAACTAATAAAAAACAAATAATATTAAATTAAATTCGTGTGGCTGGGACTCTGTACTCTTTTGTATTTCAGGGAATGAAAGGAAGATAAAGCAGTCTCGTTGCACATGAAATGTTAATTCAGCAGAAACCATATTGCAGTCTGTTGCATTTTTAAGATGAATTCTGGGCTTTGGATTCGTATTTAAGTATGTGTGTGCAAATATGAATTACCAGCAGTAATATTGTGCAGAAACGAAGTGCCGAAAATTTCATTAGGGCTGCAAATGAAAAAGTAATTACAAGCAATTATAAAAACGTCCATTTCGTACATACAGCCACGAACAAGGAAAAAAAGACAAAAAAATAGAAATGAACCGAAAATTATCACAAACTTTTGCGCTGCAAACTTTTGCAAGCAATTAAATATATTTGTCACTTCAAAATGGCTGACAAGCCAGGGACCTTGCCAAAACCGCAACAGAATCGAGTGGTCCGGGTGGCGGTGGGGCTGTCAAACATTAAACTGAGCCACATCTTCGGAACAACTTGTAGCCACCTCCCGGCAAATGCAAAGAAACCTTCAACCTCCACATAAAGTTGCCCAGTAACTGGCACTCGTGACAAGTTCTGGCGAAGTTTTCTTTTCTCCCGCCTGTTGTGCTGCAGACTGCAGTTAACTGCAGTGGTGAAAATGTATAAAGTTTTAATCATGTGGAGCATTAGCAACTCATACCGAACTGTGTGTGCACACATCAATCAAGATGTACTAAGAGTGGAATGTATAATTTTTAAGCGTATTTCCAGGAAACCGGACAGAATGTTCTCCTTTATTCTGTTTTCAAGGATTGGTTAAGTAAAAGTGCACTATCAAGATAAAAAAAAAACTTCAAGTTTAAAAAGAATCTACATATGTTTGCCTTTTTTCAATAAATTTTAGTTTTGTTATTGATATATTATCATACTTATACCATCTATATTAGAAAATCTCTTGACAAATTTCATGATTTTTAAAAAATCCCTGAATAATAAGATTTAAATCGAATAATATATACATAAGTTTCATAAGTATTTTGGGAGTAGAGCTTGGGAAAACTTCAATCATAAATCAAAATGGAATTCTTGGCCAAAGTTAAGATAAGTCGAAACTAACCATAACCCAGCCGGAACCCAAAGCAACCATGTTTTTTTTCTTCTCATCGCTCCCAAGCGATCCCCATTGGTGGGGGTTACCAGCCGGGACACTCTAGATGCAGCCAAGTGGAATCAATTAATCTTTACTCGCAAACATTTGCCAGAGGACCCAGCCGAAAAAACAACACCAGCATGCTGACATCTAAGGAGTCGGAGTCCGAAAGTATTATATGTAACCGGGTGGTTGCGATTCGCTACCCAACTCCAATGCTGAGTGAAACGTTTCAAGAAAAGTGCAGCTTGCAGCCATGAAAAATGATAAATTTCACTCTGCAGCTCCCGGCTCTGCGGAACAGCCCCTTTGCCCAAAAAGGATCCTAGTCCTGGTCCTGGCCCTGCCCTCCCGATGCTATTTTATTATTTATCAAGCTTATTACGAAAGCAGCAGCATCCACCAGGGAAAGCTTCGGGATCCTTCAGCTGCAACTGTGCAACACCCTGGAAACCCTGCCAACGGGACGGGGATTGCCATTGCCGCTCCGTTTGATATTGAAAAATTATTGCTTTTTATGAAATAGTGTCATAAATTATTCGTAATACATTAACAATTATTTAGTAGTTGTTTGCCTCTCCCGCTCCGCGGCATCAACTCAAACGTGTGATATATGGCCTTTACTTACTCAAGCGCGCCTCGACACACAGGAGCACAGAAATTAATATTGTTTTGCAATCAATTACCTAAAATGAGAAAAGAGCAAGAAGCGAGGGATTCGTTAGTGAAGGCCAAAAATATTTGGGAATAGTCATGAGTTCGATTTTAGTCTAGGTTAGTTTTAGGTCATCTAAGTACTTCCTAATTTAAGCAAAGAAATTACTAATTTTTTCTGAGGCATATTGTGTATAATTGCCGCAATTAAGTTCACACCAGTGGGGTATCCAGAATTTAAAATAACAAATTTGGAATAAAATACATTACATAAACCTTTAACCCGAGTGGGCACATGGTTTACACCATATCTTGAAAACATTTTATCGAACAAGATTCTATTTATTGTAAGTAACTAAAATATAAGTTATCTTGGAAATATTTAAAAAACAAGAAATAACAATGTAAATTCCGTTTCCCAATTGATACTTAATCCATTGAACTGTTCCTTGCACAAACGCCTATTTCCAACATAGACGAACTAATTTTGAAGTTGAGATACCACCTCAACTACTTCAGCCTCCACACTTTGCAATAGGACGGAGATTAATCTTGAGCCAGACTTTATGTCACATTATGCTTCCCCTTTTTGGCATATTTACATCGACAAGGGAAGCCGTCAGGCGAGTAAACACCTCCCCGGGTCTCCTGCCGGGGACACTTTTATTGATTTATCACGTCTGGCGTGAGTTATAATTGGATGCCGCGCGGGACCGGGGATGTGGATCTGGGGGATCTGTCTCCCATCAAGTGCAAAGTCGAGATGGGGTAAGTGACGTATCCTGGG